AAGCCAAAAACTACAACAACCAAAACAACCACTGCCACGCGCTCACTCGATGGTGAACTTCTTTGGCAGCGAGAAGCTACCGAATTCATAGAACGATTCCCTCAACGTCGTCGCCCACATGGCACACTTCGTCCGAGCGCTTCCGCTGGCGCGCTTTATAAGAAAGGTACTACTATAACTACGATCAATAAGCGCGCCAGTGGTGGTGAATTATTAACTGCACAGCAACGGCATCAACGGGATCTCTTCAGCGGCGACTTGGGCATTCCAGAGGTGCGTTCCCATGTCGGCAGTATGGTGCACACTTTTGAAACGCTCGCCCAGCAACGTAAACTAGCCGATCAAGAGCGTGCCAAAGAGCGTGCCTGGGCACTGCAACAACAGCAGCAATGGGAGCGAGAACAGCTGCAACTACAACAACAAAGTAAGTACAATATCCCGTTGCTCACAAGCGCAGTGCACACGACCACTTATACATATGACACGCCCACACATGCGTCACGCGCATCACAGCACGGCACCAGTTACAGTAAATACCATCAACTCAAACGTAAATCACACGAATCGCGTCAGCGTCTAATACAATTGAGTAAAGAGCAGCTGCTAGCCGCCTTTGGCAGCAGTGATGGTTGTAAAGACAAGCGCTCGCGCGCTACACAAAAACTTGCTAGCAGTTGTAGCGTACAAACGCTGCCCGCTGACAGCAGTGGCGGCATTGCAGTGGCTGCTGATGGCAGTCCGTTTAAGCGGCGCAGCACTTTGAGTCTGCAGCGCGCGGAGCAAATGACCCGCGCCGCAAATGTTGACGATGATTTGGCGCAACAGTTTTGCCATATGGATGATGATTATCGCAAAAATCTTTTTGGCACATTGGCAAATCGAGGGCGCGCGCCAATGCTGCATTTTGCGATGAGCAGCAGCAATGACGTGAGCGGTGACGCAAACGCTGGTGCGCATTATAATAGCACGTGTGGCAGTCAAGAATGCGAGAACAATGACTTGAGTATTGAAAACGATGAGACCTTTATTGTGAATGCCGCTTTCGATGAGATATTTGCCGGCTATAGCGGCGTCGACGATGATGAAGAAGAGGTTAACACTGCTGGTGGTGAAGAGCAATTGGTCAGCCTTAGCGAGCTGGACGACGATGTCTTCAAATCGCTCAACTCAGGCCGAGTAAATAATCTAGACTGTCCCGGGAGCACACCAATGAAGTTGCCGCTACTGAAAAAGGCACCACCGCCGCAGCCACCAGCTGCAATACTAAAAGCTCCAGCAATTAAAAATACTGCGCCATCTTTGACGGGCAAGCGCCCTATAATACCGCTTGCCAAACAAAAGCAGCGTTCCACTACGCTTCATAATCTATTCGATCGTCTGAAAGCGTCGCAGTTCAAAGCAAAGCGTCCCTTCGCCAAAATGCCTTCAGACAGCCTACTCAAGCAGGACCAGCTGAGTATCGAGCAGATGACGCATGCGTTGCATAAATATCCACCACAATTAGATTTGTACCGTGAGTTGGGCGAGGGTGAAGCCACCGAAGAACGCCCCGTGGTCAACGATGCCGCCGATCAGGACTTTCTACGCGGCTCCACACTAAGTCAATCGTTTGTGCGTCAACTACATATGCGTCGAGATAAAGATAAGGCGAAGAAGAAATTGCCAGCGCCACCGCCACCCATCAACGTGCGAGTACAATCGAACAGCGCCAGCGGTGGCGTAAA